CCATTACTACTCTGTCCCATAATAACACTGCTTATATATTATAATTAGATACTGTAAACTTTTTTTATTATTCAACGTTAAGCTTATTGTTTAATTTAATATTTATATAGGAGTACTTTAACACCGTAATTAAGTTGGTTTATTTTAATCCTTTTCTCTTTGATTTTAAGATGGTTTCACATTTTGTTCATTTTGTGTATATCTTATGGACGCACCACCTTGCTAGGTGTGTGCCACTGATCTGAAAGTGAGTGCCAATAAATACTGAAATACTGAAGCCTAAACCAATAGACAATATCACAGTAACGATTGTGTTTAAAAGAAAAAGTGCATTATTATTATTATTATTATTATTATTATTATTATTATTATTATTATTATTATTATTATTATTATTATTATTATTATTATTATTATTATTATTATTTATTATTATTATTATTATTATTATTATTATTATTATCATTATCATCATCATCATTATCATCATCATTATCATTATTATTATTATTATTATTATTATTATTATTAATTTCTGTGACATAATATAATCGATTGGAACCAGCAATTTATTACATGTTCGCGTTTTGTGGTCCCGCTGATCAGAGGCCTCGTAGTGACCTAGAATAAAAGTGTTTTAACCACACAGGTATCCGCGCAATATCAGTGCAGTCTCATCTTTGGCTTAGCTGGTTGAAAATAAGAAAAATTACCTAGTCTAAAAACAGACTAAATTGATTGTCGGGCATTAGTGAAACGGACGAAGCATAACCTTGTGTATGATATCTCGCTGAGAGATAAGCTTTAATTTCGCTTAATTTCTTTGTGTCGTTCTAAAATTCTCGTTCGACTGTGCATTTAAACTGTATAAAAGCAGGCCATGCTATGGCATTATTCGCTATTGATTCACAGTGGAGTCGGCCCAGCGTGCGGTCAGCGCTAGAAGCACGTATTAGCACGCACGACGGGACGCCTATTTGGTCCGGCCTTGGTCGACCCAGCTGTGAACATCTACGCTACGATTAACGTTATTGACAAATGCGATTCTGACTGGGAGAGCGAGTAATTTGTTAGCTTTATAATGAAAGCCCCTCCTAGAGCGAGGAACCCTAGTGCGCCCACTATTTCCTTCCGTGGTTTGGCGATTCAACGCCAGCTCACGTCCGCCCCTGGAGGCCTACAGAATTAGCGAAAGCTTGTCCGTTGTGTTTGATTCGCACATTGGATTCAGCAGTCAAGATTGTAACACAGCGCCGAGTACAATTGGATATTCAATTTTTTCTCATCCTCTCCTGGATCGGTCTAATTCCGACGTGAATATTGCCGCCGAATTGTTGTAAGAATGTCACGGCGAAAACAGGCCCGGCCCAAGGCTCTCAAAAGACTTTCCCAAGGTGAGGTACAATAAATCGTTCAATTGTAATTATGTAATATTAGGCCTATTTATTATTACGATGCTGGTCTGCAGCTATAGGGATATCGGCTGGTCACACACGTTTACTCGGGTGAATACTGTCAAAGTGTTAGTATAACATTAAGTTACGGTACTGTACTGAGGGATGCAGTTCCCTGCTCTTTGTTAAGGTATTAGGCCTTTAATGTCTTTAAATATGTTCTCATTAGAACCAACTAATCATCTGTGCCGTCAACATAAGATGAACACATGATGTTACAAAGTAACTTTCATTATATTGTATATCACATTATTAGTAAACATGGAATAGGGCCTATATACTATAGGCATATATATAGGCCTATATATATATATATATATATATATAATGACTATGTGTATAAATAGTAAAATATATATGACGCCGACATCCACAGTAAAAGGGAGCTAAATATAACTTTGTGACTCATTTCTGTACTCGGTGTGTCGTAGACTGAGTCGGAATACATCTGTTTTATGACTTAGTAAATGCTTAATCGTGTACAATAGTAGAACCACAGATCCTATAGAACGAAGTAAATAGGCTATGAAAAACTGAATAGAGAAAAGCTTGAACAACAGATAACACTAAGAAAATGCATTAGGCCTATCTATCGATTAATAATCGATAATTACTTTATCATTAGTACCTCTTCCAACATTATGACATATAGTACTCTACTTACTACAAGGATTGCAATGTAATGTTTTATACCATGGCACAGGTTATGTAGGTAAGTATAAATTGTAAACCTATCTACTTTGATAACCAACCATTTTTGTAGTATACCAGTACCCTTGACACGCGTGTCGTCGCGCCTGAATGTCATTAAAATTCAGATAACTTTATTTTTACAATAATAGTAAAAATAATGCAGTTATAATACTCATGAAACTAATGAGTTGGCCAGTTTATATGATATCAGCACTGCATACGATTGGTGGGGTGCTTCGATACTACCTTTAGTAACTGACATACTACATTGTTCGCATAAACTTTCATTCATGCGAGTTCACAATGGATAATACGGTCATATTTCTACCCCAGCAAATTAATTAGTTTAGAATTATAATTTCATGCCTGATATTGTCTTATCGTTTATATATTGTATACAAACCTAAATACTCGACAATGAAATTCATTCACGTTGTGTGAGTATCGCTGATATAAGATGCATGCGCAAATGTTGTTATGTTCCAAAACACTTCAAATATAAACTATCTTTGTCTAAATTATCTTTAATCACATTTGCTACAGTCGAAATAAAAAAACACCTAAATTGTAAAGACTAGTCTCACGTATGGTCCTGATGTCCAGTCTATAAATACTATGACCATAAATCGTTGCAGGAATAATCGAAATTCAAATAAAATAATATGTATATACGGTATATAAAACAAAACAAAAATAAGAGGTTCAACTTTTATCTACTTTCGATCAATGAAGACATCAAGACAATCAAGACATTTTATTACTATTGGTTTCGTGATATACATAGGCATACACGGTGCAACACTCTTCAGATATTGCCTATATAATGCATGGTGCAACAATCTTCAGATATTATTGCCTATATAATATATAGTGCAACATTCTTCAGATAAAATTTCCTAGTGTTGTGCTGCACCATGTACTGTATGTACACGAAACTAAATACTGTAGTAATAAGTCTAATCAAATATACTGTTGAACCTCTTATTTTTGTTTTGCTTTCATTGAGCACTCTGCTGGTAATATTGGCAACATGTTCAATCGTTATATGTATTGTTTTATTGTTCTAGACGACGATCCTTTCATCTTAGCATTTTGACATGTCAGATTCTGATACGTTGTGTCACGTTCTTTGTTTACTACGACGCGCGAGCTCGTAAGATTGCTCATTATCTGTATTTTGATTGGGTGTTTTGTATAGGCCTAGCTATAAATTTATCTGTTTTTTTTTGTCACAGCTCTTTATACCTGATGATGGGCTATGCCCGAAACATGTATCAAATAGATTTCCACTGTCAGATTACATTTTCCTGCTATACAGAGATCGCGTAACGGTATGAACTCAGGTACGTAATATGTGTAAACACTAGAATTGATTGAAACGAATATTTCGGCTACTCCTGTAGTCTTTATCAACGCTTGACATAAAATGAACATTCATCCTGAGAAAGTTTCTTGGTAATATACAAATTGAGAAACAATAAGTCCAAAGCAAGTCGGAATACTATAAAGGATTAATGATATATGTAAGCCCACATATAAACAAAGATAAGGAAGAACAATTAACAATATATTTCCTCCATGGAATGATCAAGTGGTAGACCGTGGGAAAACTATAGTTAGTTGATTAGCTGAAGATAATTGAAAGTCTAAACACAGGGCTATGATTAAAACCAAGCATAGAACAGGAAAAGGCGATTAAAAAGTTAATTAAAATTAAAATATACTAAGCATTAAAGTAACAAATAAATATAGGCCTATAACAATATGAATGTATAGTATATATTTATCGGGACATAAAATATGCATGGCAAATATAAAATAGTTATATAACTATTAAAAAGGGCCTAAAAATTTCGCTAAATACATTATTACCGGCAACATATTGACCATCTCTTTGGAGTTTTTTGTAAGAGGTAAATAAAAAAATTAAAAAAAAACTGATAAAAATGCATAAGTGAAAGTAATCCATTGCCGATAAATATTTTTGAGTAAACACAGCGTTCAGAGCGTATACTATTCATCTGATGAGGAATTTCATTAGGAACGTCTCCATAATTATAATTGCAATATCGTTCTTTAATGATAACTTTTGATACACTTTAAACACATTTTAGATTCTGTTATTATTTTATATTTATAGGCCTATTCGAGATTATATAAGGTGATTATGGTTTATTAGTTATGACAAATTAACAGACTTTTACTATATAATTTCAAAACAAAATTTAATGAAAAAAAGGATCGACGTTTCGGGTCTGTCACTGAACCATTTTCAAGATCAAGTGATTTACAGAACTTATAAACATCAAATTTGTTTTAAAACTATAGTGTTATTCTCAACTTTACTCTCTGACATATACCATCTTGATTATATATTTTAATATATTATATTGATAGGCAATATCAGTGCGTGTTTTACTGTACTCACCATGATCAGCCCTACCTCAGTTTTTATTTTATGGGAACGGAATTAATATCTCCTTGCCCGTTGTAGGTTATATTCTCGATTTTATCTACAGTAATAGCTAAAGTTTATTTCCTTTAACTTAACTCCAATTACTTACATCATACAATGTATATCGTGTGTCTACTTTTTGCTAGTTATTCATTTTCTAAAATCCCTAATAGGGAGGCTGAGATATCGGATTTTTTTCATGGCAACCATGTTTAATATAGGCCTTTCATTATGGAAAGGGAGCGTGATCACTTATTCTGTGTGTTCCAGCTTTTAAATGACAACACATCTAGGTCTAAAACTCCACTGAATTTCTATATCAAAATTTATTACTATTTTAATCATTTTAAAATGACGATTGATAACGTTTTCGTAATCAATGTATCGATACTTAGAGTAGGCCTAACCAGGTCATACACGACACGCTCCACTGATGAAAAGTTAACAAGCGACACGAACCAGCATAGTTGACGCATTGTTACGTGAAGAAGGGGATAGATAGCATTTTGCTCTCGTTCGACGCCTTCTGGGGCCAAGCAAAATTTCTCTTTCTAAAGGTTTGTGACGGCTTGACATGGGGAATCTCACATTAACAGATTAAATTGCATAATGACATTATAGGCAGTTCTGTTTCGCTTTGAGACTGTCTTCGTAATTAAATGCAATTTCAGTTCACATATCATTTGGAAACAGCGTCGTTGCCTTTGCATCGGAGGTGTACTGCTTCGTCCCGCGTTTTGTTTGACGCACAGTAGCGTTTACTTTGATAATCTTTGCCACTGTGTAATGCTCATTGATCCACGCAACGCACATCTTATAATGGACAGTTACGTATCGGACCAAAAGTGGAAGTATGAATGTTCGAATGCGAAGCATCAACATATCAAAATATAGCATTATACGATCATTGTACGAATTGGATATCGTTGAGAGGAGTCCCATGGGGCAGGAACCCATGCGTCACTGTGGTTCGTGGTGAGGGCTTTCTTTCGGTTTTACTCCAAATCATACTCGTAGGCTTTTCGTTTTCAATGCATTAGTGCCTTGGAGAGATGATGACATTTTTCCTTCTTATAAATACATCTTTGAAATCCATCAGCAACAGGCTAGGATTTGCCAAACACCCCATGAGGGACTCGGCGAATCCCAAGGGCTCATCGAAAGGGAAAGTATGCCAGCCTTAACTGAGTAGCTTCTTATGTAGCTTTGTGATACGACGTTCCCTTGTTGCTTCTAGCGAAATAAATAAATTCACATAAATTAAGTCCCTAATTTTTATATGTTTCAGAAGACCGAACATGATGTAAAAGCAAAACTGTTCATATGCGCATGCTCCTGGTACAGCGAACATTATGTAGGTTTTCTCTTGGTAGTTTTTAATTTCCGAGTTTTAAAGCTTACAGTGGCATGCGTAGTCATCAACCTGCTTATTTATTGGTACTCGAGTTAGCTAATTATAGGTACATGATTTCATTAGTTTTACTCGCATAGTCAGCGATTTCGATCAGTCGTAAGATGATATCAAGGATGGAGGAATCTGAATCTCAATGCAAGAATATGCCGCATGATGGACGTTATGTCCACTAGTGAAAAACCAGGTAGCATGCTACTCTATTTGTTGTGCTACGAACTTATACGGAAATAGCCTACCAACACATGGGCGACATCATGCTGCTAGATTATTATGGTTTCAGATTGTTTTCTACTTTAGAATATGTTACAATATTTAAATTCTACATGGAGCTTAGTTTAAGTAAGCGCGATTTCGCGCGCGCCACGCTAAAACTACATT